GCGCTGTGGCTCAAGTGGTAGAGCGCTAGCCTTGAGCTGAAGAGCTGAGGGACAGCGCCCAGGCCCAGAGTTCAGGCCCCACGACCGGACCCAAAAAAATAATAATAATTAAAAAATAAAAATAAAATAAAATACTAATCTGAGTGCTAGTAGCTCATGTCTCTAATCCTAGCTACTCAGGAGGCTAAGATCTGAGGATCACAATTCAAAGAGATAGCCCAAGGCAAGAAAAGTCTGTAAGGCTGGTTGGTGTCTAATGTCAGAAATGGAGGTGTGGCTCAAGTTGTAGAGCACCAGTCTTTTTTATCTGGCTGGTCACAGGGCTTGATCTCTGGAACTAGACACTATCCCTGGGCTCCTTTTGCTCAAGGCTAGTGCTCAACCACTAGAGCCACAGCACCACTTGCAGTTTTTTCTGTGATTAATTGGAGGTAAGAGTCTCATGGACTTTCCTGCCTGGGCTGGCTTGGAACTTCGATCCTCAGATCTCAGCCTCCTGAGTAGCTAGGATTACAGGGATGAGCCACGGGTGCCCAGCTAGAGCACCAATCTTCAGTGGTAAGGTTTAAGGGACAGCACCTAGGCCCTGAGGTCAAGCTGTCAAACCATAATATTTTAAGTAAGTAAATACGAGTATAGACAAACTATCTAAACTACATTTATCCTTCTTATAATACTCTATAGCTATTAGAAGATGTGTTACAAATTTCAGCTCATGAGTTTAGACCCTTTTTTTTTTTTTTTGAGTCTGGTCGTGGTTGGGCCTAGGCGCTGTCCCTCAGCTCTTCAGCTCAAGGCTAGCACTCTACCACTTGAGTCACAGCACCACTTCCGGCTTTTTTCTTTTTGCTTATGTGGTGCTGAGGAATCGAACCCCGGGCCTCGTGCATGTAAGGTGAGCGCTCTACCACTAAGCCACCTTCCCAGCCCGAGTTTAGACCCTTTCTAAAGATCAGAAGTTCCATGGACATAAGACATAATAAGCAAAGCCAGCACTCAACACAGTTAAATCTTAACACTGGCTTCTAAATTTCAGTACTCGGGGCTGGGAAGGTGGCTTAGTGGTAGAGCGCTTGCCTTGCATGCATGAGGCCCTGAGTTCGATTCCTCAGCACCACATATGCAGAAAAAAGACAGAAGTAGTGCTGTGGCTCAAGTGGTAGGACACTGGCCATGAGCTGAAGAGCTGAAGGACAACACCCAGTTCATCCTCCACGATCATCAAAAAAAATTAAGTAAATAAATTTCAGTACTCTTCAGGCTCCAGGGTTTTACTTTTGTCACCTACAGAAAAGGCACTACCTGGAATATAGTGCAGTGGTGCTGTACTGTACTCCCTATTCTCATGCAGAATACTGAATCAGTATTTCAGAAACAAAGAATGTGACCTAGGGCAGTATTTCTGGGAAGAAGAGATCTATCAGAATTATCTGTGAATTCTTTGAAAACTCTACATCTGGTCCAGCCTAAGATGTTATCAGATATTTGGGGCTGGGGAAAAGAAGCCAGGCATGTATACAATTAAAAATGAATCAGCAGGTAATTGTAGTACACATTTTAGTTAAGAACCGAATGTCTAATCTAGATACAACGACACATGCTTGTACTGGTAGCAATAGGGAGAACCAAAGCAGATCATAGGTTCTAGGTCAGCTTCAGCTACAATGAAAGACCTAGTCTTGCCGGGCGCTGGTGGGTCACGCCTGTAATCCTAGCTACCCAGGAGGCCGAGATCTGAGGATCAGGGTTCAAAACCAGCCAGGGGAAGGAAAGTTCATGAGACTCTTATCTCCAATTAACCACTAGAAAACCGGAAGTAGCTCTGTGGTTCAGGCGGTAGAGTGCTCACCTTGAGCTGAAGAGCTGAGGGATAGCTCCAAAGCCCAAAGTTCAAGCCACACAACCAACCAAAAAAAAAGAAAAAAAGAAAAAAAAGACCTTGCCTTAGAAATTAAAAAAAAAAAGTTACATAATATTGATGACTCCTTTATATATTTCAGACACTTAACTATCTCTAAGGAAATAAAGAAACCTATTTTCCACTACAGATGAATTTCAAAGAACTATATTTTACGTACAAGCTAAAGTTTATTACTAACCTTAAGAACTTTGGCATTCACAGATTCCTTCTCTTTATAAAAAAATCGAACCATCTGAATCGTTAAGTAAGCAGGTAGCCGGCTGATCTTCGACTGAAAAGAGAAAATGGGGAGAAAAATCATATATATTTATATATACATACATAATTTTTTTTGGGGGGGGTCAGTCCTGGAGCTTGAACTCAGGACCTGGACACTGTCTGACTTTCTTTTGCTTAAGGCTAGCACTCTTGAGTCACACAGCAACCCTTCCAGCTTTTTTCTGTGTATGTGGCACTGAGAAATAGAACCTAGGATTTCATGCATGCTAGGCAAGCACTCTTACCACCAAGCTACATTCCCAGCCCGCAAGAAAATATTTAACATCCAAATATAATAATTTTTTAATTCCATGGTGATAGAAAATAAAGATTAGTTAAGATTTGTAAACTGGAAAACTTTCAATGAAATGGAACTCAAATTCAAAACAAATGCACAACTTACAGATTTGATGTACAAAGCGTTTCTCTGTAATGTTGGAGATTGTTTGGTAATTTCTTCCTGAAGTCGCTAAAAAAAAAAATGACAGACAAAATGGGTTTTAAAGACTTTTTTCCTGCAGCATAGAACCACACCTGACTCTTTAAAACCAAAGAAAAAAAATTACTATTAGTATAGGATCAATCAATGGATTTACATTAGTGAGAAACGAACTGTAATGAAAACAATACAGCTTTTAGATATTGTTTTAATTCTTATAAGGCACTGAATTACAAGTAAGTAACTTCTTTTAAGTATAGTGACTAAAGTTTTTAGTTATAATCCAAATGATGCTCAGCTTTTGGGAGGATGGATAAATAGATAGATAGATCAATCAATCGATCAATCAATCAATCGATCGATCACCAGTCAGGTTATTTTTAAATCTGAGAAGTCACAACACAGAAAACTTAGGAAGTCTTTTGCCCTTATACTTCTTATAATCGGCATAATCACCTTTCTATTTCCTGCAGTGTATGTGACACTGGCAATGTTTTCACTTCTCTAGGCATCATATCTTAAAGTTAATTTTTAAAAAATCTATATTATAGTGTTGTAGTCTCAAGTACATAAATCAATACATGTGGCAAACCTAGGAAACAATCTGACATCTAGTCTATGTTCAATAAAATTAGCTATTTCTAATGGTATATAGAAAAAATGAGCACTACTAAACAAAACAAAAAAATCTGATTTACAAAGCCCTATTGATTGATCATGCTTTAACATTTGTGTAATTTTTATCACAGGACTTAATATTTAATTCATCACCAAAAGAGACATATTGGCCAAAATTACTCAAGAATAATAAAACAAAAATAAGACAAAAATCTTTACTTTTAAAATTTTTAACTTTGTTTTTTGAGTAAATGTCTCAAAGTCATGATTCTTCTATTCTCCTATCAACACCACAACATCCAGCTAAAAACCTTTAAAGTTACAATGGAAATAAATGCAACTTGGGAATATATGTCTTTTGAAAAGGTTCAGGTGGAAGGGCTGGGAAGGTAGCTCAGTGGTAGAGTGCTTGCCTTGCATGTATGAGGCCCTGGGTTCGATTCCTCAGCACCACATAAGCAGAAAAAGCCAGAAAGGGCACTGTGGCTCAAGTGGTAGAGCGCTAGCCTAGAGCTATAGAGCTGAGGGACAGTACCCAGGCCCAGAGTTTAGGCACCATTACTGACAAAAAAAGGGTAAAAAAAAAAGTTCAGGTGGAGCAAACCATTGATTCATTAACATTAAACAAAACCAATAATACTATATCTCATGACCAAATGATCTTTCTCTAACACATGTGATTTTCTTGGTAAGGCATATCAATCTTCCTGAACTTGGGAATACATTTGAGGATCATGCTACACACTAGTATCACCAACAAAAAGCACACACATAAACACACAGGCACCAAGATTACTGTGTAAAGAACACTTGTGAATTGAAGTAAGCAGTCAGAGCACTCTCTTGCTTGACCCATGTGAAACTGTATGTGGGAAGCCATTCAGTAACATGTCTGTGAATGACTATTAAAGCACAGTGAGGCAAGGTGCTGGTGGCTGATGCCTATAATCAAAGCTACAGGCTGAAATCTGAGGATCATAGCTCAATGTCAGTCCAGGTAGGAAAGTCCATGAGACTCTTAGAAAAAATGAGCAATTAACCAGTAAAAAAAAAAAAAAAACAGAAGTGGAGCTGTGACTCAAGTGAAAAGAGCAACAGCCTTCAGGAAAAAAGCTAAGGGGAAAGCACATGGGCCCTGAGTTCAAACCCCAGTACTGGCATGCATACATGCATGCATGCATGCCAATAGATAGAGACAGACAGATGAGTGAGTTTTGTCTTTAGGTTTACAAGTAAATTTCAGCATGTAAACATATTCACAAATGTGTAATGTACAAATAATAATCAGCCACTACTGTCCATACCAATTTAAGTCCTGTAAAAAGATACTTGACTTCCTGATTAATAAAACAGCTAAGCTGAAGCTGGTTTTCCTTCCCTTTGGTGACCTCTTCTTCTTCAGATTCTGTACATTTCATGCTTTGCAAATTAAGATAAGGAATGACAATAAATATTCATTTTGTTATTCTTGAATAGAATGAGTTATCCTAATGTTATTTAACAACCATTACTTGGAACTTGAAACATTACCTCCCAATAGACATTCATGTCAACATACTGACATGTTAACAGGTATATACACAATTAGCTAAATTTAAAGAAAGATCATGTCACAGTAGTGTATTTTTATTCTTTATTTCCATAGTATATTTTTAGAAATAAAAAAAATTTACAATGTTTTCTTCTATCCCACCCACCATGCCTATCAGCCAAATATATTACTTATACCAATTTATATTTTGGAAGTTATGCATATAATAATGTATACAAATCTTGACTTATAAGGATACGTCGTTTCAAACTCAAGACCGAAGAACTGATCAATTAAGCTTTTCTTTTTAGAAGGTGGCACTGCTGATGCAGATGAAGAATCTGTCTGTAAAAATAAAGTTAAAATTCTAGCTTTACTTAATATAGGTATTAATGTATATCTTCTCATACAAAAGCCAATTTGATAATGCATATTCAAGATTTTTCAGTGTAGTCCTTTCCTGTGAAATCCTTCTAAATTCAGAAACATTGCAAAAAGATTATACATGCTCAACAATATCAATCTATAAGGACAGCAGGTAATTGTGGGCTCTTGAAGCTGTGGTTTCAAATGGGCAAGAAATGACCCCTCTCCTTCCCCGACTGGCCAGGATCAAGAGGTACAGATAGTTGGGAAAGTTGTGATGGACTGCAGTGGAATGGGACATGGGATTCTCTAGCCCAAGTCCCTTACCTGCAGACAGCCTTGTGGGGGGACAAGGGATCCTGTTACATTCAATAAATAACACCCTAAATGCCAAATACAAGCTACCAAACTTCAACTCTTAAGTTGAACATATAACGTAGAGCAGCTAACTATGCAACTACAAATCTATCAAGATAAATTTATTGCTGGGAACCGGTGGCTCATGCCTGTAATCCTAGCTACTCAGGAGGCTGAGATCTGAGGGTCACAGTTCAAAGCCAGCCTGGACAGGAAACTCCGTGAGACTCTTATCTCCAATAAACCACCAGAAAACTGGAAGTGGCGCTGTGACTCAAGCGGTAGAGCATTAGTCTTGAGTTGAATTGCTGAGGGACAGTGCCCAGGCGCAGAGTTCAAGCCCCACGACCGACAAAACAAAACAACAACAAAAAAAAGATAATTTATTTCAATCCTTTGGGTGAAGAAAATAAAAAATAGTATAATGAAAATCTATAATCAAAAAAATTATTAATAAATCTCAATTACCTCTTTAACAGAATCATCTTCTATGGCTTCTAATTTCTGTTGCAATACTCGCATCATTTGTATCCAACATTCATTAGCATCCTGTAGTTTGAAACATAACAATTAGTTGGGTGGCAGTGCCTCAACCTGTAATCCTAGCTACTCAGCAGGATGAGATCTAAGGATCACAGTTTGAAGCCAGCCTGAACAGTAAAGTCCACGAGACTCATCTCTAACCACCAAAAAGCTGCAAGTGGAGTTGTGGTCAACTGGTTGAGCACTTTGCTCAAGGACAGCACTGAAGCTCTAAATTCAAGCCCCAGAGACTAGCGCCAAAAAAAAAAAAAAAATGCTGCTGGATACTGGTGGCGCATGCTTGTAATCTTAGCTACTCAGGAGGCTGAGATCTGAAGACCACAGTTTAAAGCCAGCCCAGGCAGGAAAAGTCCATGAGACTCTGATCTCAATTAATCACCAGAAAACCTAGCCTTGAGCTGAAGAGCTCAGGGACAGCGCCCAGGCCCAGGGTTCAAGCCCCACAACCAAAAAAAAAAAAGAGGGGCTGGGAAGGTGGCTGAATGATAGAGTGCTTGCCTTGTATGCATGAGGTCCTGGGTTCGATTCCTCAGCACCACATAAGCAGAAAAGGCTAGAAGTGGCACTGTGGCTCAAGTGGTAGAGTGCTAGCCTTGAGCTGAAGAGCTGAGGGACAGCACCCAGGCCCAGAGTTTAGGCGCCACTACCAACAACAACAAAAAAATTCAGGTGGAGCCAGGCATTGATTCATTAACATTCAAAACAAAACAAAAAGATTCTTGCAAAGATAACAGGCAGTCTATAAAACTCTTCTAAAATAATTTCCATTTCCTTACAAGTTAAAATATTCAACCAAGTTTGGCATAAGATCTTCAAAGAATTGAATTCTAGAATAAGTTATTCATTGATTTAACAGTGAGCTCCTATTTCTGCTACAATGTGCTAAATATTTGAAAGACAAAATGAGAAAAAAATAGTCCCAGTGGGCCATATAGAAAAATATGAATTCAGACAAGATTAAGACAATGAAGAAGAAAATGCAAAATAGTAGCAGAGAAAGTATGCTATATCAATAATGTAATCAGGAAAGCCATGGATGTGTGAGACCTGAGGAAACAAACTATACATACATGTGACAACCAAGGAACAAGAACAAAGGAGTGCCAAGAAGAGGGCACTGGAGGCTAGCACAATCAGAGAAGCCATGCAGTTGGAAAGGGTGTGTCTGGGAGAAGGAACACAAGATGAACCCAGTGGCAAGCAGAGGCTTAGTGGATTTAAGACAGAAAATTACTATTAGGTACCGAATAAAAGCCCAACTTAATCTTATTTATTAATAATTTATCAATAAATATATACACATGTATGTATGTGTTTATATACATAAATAGAACTCACTCATGCTAAGGGCATACTCTAACACTGAGCTACAGTGAGAAACCCTAGTTAAATGTACAATACATAGGGGGGTTTGAACTCAGGGCTAGGCAAGTGCTCTACTAGTTGAACTGTGTCCCTACTCCTTTTTCCTTTAGGTTATTTTTCAGAGAGGATCCCAAGCTGTTGTCAAACTACCATTCTCCAGATCTTCATCTTCTGAGTAGCTGGAAATTACAGGTATGAGCAACCATGTGAGGACCTCCATTTACATAAAAAAAAAACACTAGGGATGTGCACTAATGGCTCAAACCTATAATGCTGGCTACTCAGGCTGAGATGTAGAGATTTATGGTTCAAAGCTAGCCCACATGAAAAAGTACCCTAAAGTTCATCTCAAAAATCATCAACAAAAAGCCAGACTGTATGCATAGCTCAAGTGGTAGAGCACCAGCTGTGAGCAAGTAAGCAAGCCAAGCAAGCAACAAACATGAGGCCTTGAGTTCAAACTCTGGCATACAAACAAGACATACAGACACAGACAGACACACACACAGACACACACAGAGGCAGCTGTGTGGAAAAACTGCAAAAGCAGAAGATGATCAGTTTACAAACAACTGTCCCACAACTATAAGAGGTTAAGTGTGTTGTGAACAAAAGCTGACTTCCAAATATATCCCATTAACTATGTAGAAAAATTTTGCTTGCTTACCTGTTGGAGATACTGTCCTTGTTCACCCTTTTCTGCAAACTGTGGGAAAGCCATGTGCAAAAACTGCAGTAGAATAATAGGTGGAATACTAGAAGAAGTTTTATCCATGGAATCAAACAAATCTCTAAGGGCTTAAGCACAAAACAAACATTGCCTTAGAAAAACACTGAACTATTTATTTAATACATACTGCTATAAATATTTGATTGTTAAATTCATATAGACCTGCTTAACTTTCTTTTGTATTGTTTTTATTTTTTGAGACAGGGTCTTGAAATATAGCCTACACTGAATTAGAACTCCCAATCTTCTGGCTCTGTCACCTGAGTGCTGGAATTATACGGCTATACCACTACACCCAGCCTACATTAAGTATTTTTAAGTATACCTATCTTTTTCCAATTGTTCAATTTGCAATAATAAAAAGTCATATTCAACTCAAAAAACCAAATCACCTTACCACTCAAACCTTACCTATAAATAACCTCTGACATCTGCCCTCTTTCTCTCTTCTCCTTGCCAGTCTTTGTCTTTCAAAACAAAGTAGAATATATTAATTCGATACAGAGAACACACAACTAGTGTCTAGGGATCAAACAGACATAGCAGAGGAGGCTACAATGCTTGGTAAGAAATGTACTCATTATCTTGCCCATGTAATTGTAACCACTCTGTACAGTATTTTCACAATTAAAAAAATATATTTAAAAAAAAAAAAGACATAGTAACACCACTGTTCTGCCACTCTGCCCATTACCTGGACATCAAATTACCACTCCCAATTTACCTTCCTTTAAACCAGTAATTTGTTCCCACCTACTGACCTACTAGATTTAAGAACTAAAACTTAAAAAAAATAAAAGAACTAAAACTTCTTCAAAACATTTCCCCTTTAATCTCATGGCCATGGACTGAACTATGCTCTCAGAACTCAGAATACTTTTCCTCTGCTGATTTCTTGGCTATCCTATCTCATCATACTCTTATTTTATGTGTAGCACAATTCTTCATATGACTTGTTTTATTAATAGCTACAATGTGAAATGTCATCTATTATCGTACAGACTAAAACTCTGCAAATAATATGGCATGTCAGCACAAAGTAAAAACTCAGTAAAAGGTGGCTGGAAAGGCAGCTCAGTGGTAGAGTGCCTGCCTTGCATGCATGAGGCCCTGGGTTCGATTCCTTAGCACCACATTAAACAGAAAAAGTGGGAAGTGGCACTGTGGCTCAAGTGGTAGAGTACTAGCCTTGAGCTAAAGAGCTCAGGGACAGCGCCCAGACCCAGCGTTCAGGCCCCACGACCTACCAAAAAAAAACACCTCAGCAAAAGGTTCCTGAATAGAAAAACTAAATACAATGTTTAAAAACTCTTTTTGGAGGGCTGGGAAGGTGGCTCAGTGGTAGAGCGCTTACCTTGCATGCCTGAGGCCCTGGGTTCCATTCCTCAGCACCACATAAGCAAAAAGAAAAAAGCTGGAAGTGGCGCTGTGGCTCAAGTGGTAAAGCGCTAGCCTTGAGCTGAAGAGCTGAGGGACAGTACCCAGGCCCAGAGTTCAGGCCCCACGACCGGACCCAAAAAAACAACAACAACAACAAAAAACAAAAACCTCTTTTTGGAGACACAGTTGAAATCTAGGAATCTCTATCAAGCTGATTATGTTTTGAATCCAAAACCCAGATGACTTAAATGTTTAGTATAAGGACACCAGACC